AAAAAAACTAAAGAGAACAAGAGAATATAAAACGAAAACCTTTTGATAATTTCGAGCAAACTCAGAAAAAAAAAAAAACTTTTGGACATTCTCATATCCTCATTTCAAAAAATATAATGATAACTTTTTACTAAAATGTACTGCTACTTCCATTTCTTCTTCTTCCGCTTCTTTTTCCTCTCAATAAATATAAAAGTAAAATCTTTATAACAGGACTTTGTAAAAGAGTTTTCAAAGTAGTAAGAGAAAAAATATTCAAAAACAAAAAAAAAAGAAAAGTTTTCCTCTGATATTTCTTAAATATGCTGAGAAAGAAAGTGTCTATATTTTAGTTATTAGAAACTTTATTTTAATGGACAGCAACAACTTAACTTCATCAAAGATAAAGCGACAATATGAAGTCATAGAGGAAAATAAAAAAAAAAAAACCGAAGTAAAATACGATAAAAGAAAAAGTAAAGAAAAGAGACAAAAAAAAATTTTTTTTTTTTTATTTTTTGTCTTACAAATTTTTTACTGTTAAATTGCGTAATAGAAATTTTGGTTTTTGTTGTTCGCCTTATCTTGTTTTGTATTCGCAAAGAAAAAATTGAATTCTTTTGGTCTTTTTTCCCCCTTTGTGTTTTCTGTTACGCATTTAACTTTACGGCAACACTTTTTTTATTAACTTTAACAATATTACTATATTGTAAGTGTTTGTAACGAAAATTAATCTATTTTCAAAAGAAATTTTTATAGAGATATGAAAATTTTCGGAATGTTAAAGGTTCTGTTCGTTAAAATGTCCGGAATTAAAAACAAAGTTTTCATGACAACGCGTAAGGCCGTAAAATAAACAACTTACTGAATTCGTTCAAATAAAATTTGTTTTTATTTAAAGAAATTTAACACTTAAATTCCACAGAGTTCTATGCAGCTTTAATTAAGTATTTCACGCATAAATTAATGGGAGTATTTGTCGTATAGTGTAGGGCGCGCTACGCTACTCTTATTAATTATTCGGAATTATCCTATATTATCAAAAATCGAAAATAGCTTTTAATGTAGCACACCATTTTAGTTAAGCTCAAAATGCAAATAAAATAATGAATTGAATCTGTCTTTGAAATTAATTTTGATACTATTTTATGTTGTATATCAGCCATTAAAGAGAGGGAAGCAAATAAAGAAGGCTGCTAAGATTTTCTTGTGCTTTCTAAAATTTAGACCAGTCAAAATATGCGTCCCCCAAAAATTTATAATTTTTAAGAAGAACCCATATAGCTACTATTACACTACAATTTGCTATTATACCTGTAATATTAATTATTTTTGCTAGTGACCTGGAAAAAATTTATCTTAAATTATTTAATAACCCTTGCGCGTAATAAAGATCATTTTTTTTTAAATATATTATAATTGTAAAGAAATTTACTAATGGATTTACTGACATTAAATAAATATTATCCTCTTATCTTTGCACTTACGTGCATTTTTCTGATTAAGAAAAAACCACTTTTATACGTGCCAACGTGCGTTTAAACCACTATACTGACTACATATTTCATATTTTCCAATAATTATTTAAAAACTCTCTCTTATATAACATTACGAGTTGCTTTTTTTTTAACAAAATATGAATGAAAACAAAAAAATGAAAATTATTTTTCTCTTTATATTTTTATAATAGTATTACAATAAGCCCCCCATTTATGTATAACATTTTACTTTATTTGAGAAACACCAATTTAAGTAATTTTATATTAAATATACTTATATAGACAAGTTCACAATTTTTCAATATATATATATATATATATATTCGATTACCACTAAAAATAAGTACATAATAGCAAAATAGCTGTACAAAGTATAAAGAACTCAGTAAAAATATTCAAAGATGATAAAATAATAAATAAAATGTTTACATTAAAATTACATTTTTATAATCTTTTATAAAATCTATAATAATATTATATTTAATATTATCTAGGATATTCATTCATATGTATAGTATAGAATTTTTTATTATCGTTTCATCAAATTCCTTTTTATATATTTTTTTACTAACCCGAGCTCATCAAATCAACCAAAGACCATTAACCTCGTAATATAATAATTTCATGGTTTTCCCCTATACTTTACTCTTTCAAAGAACAAAAAAAAATGAAGCTATCACCATAAAAAAAAAAAAGTCGAAAATGTTTTCTTTTACTTTGTTTTCAATTTTAAACGGTTTAAAAGAGATAAAAGACACTTAATTCCGAAATTACGTTGTAAAAATATTTTAAATATCCTAATTAACCCGTTGAGTTAAGAATCAACGGCGGTAATTAAAAGAAACGGAGTGACAACTACCAACTCGTTAAGTTTACTCTTAAAGAACTCCGAAAAATAGTTAAAAATTCCGAATTCCGAAAAAATAGTATGTGATTGTATCGAACAACTTGTCTACACTAGGGAAATATGTGTTAAATAAATGGAAACATGAAGGAGATTTAGAAGTAATAGACCTTTCATTTACATAGATTAATGAGTTTCAATTAAGTGCCTAAGTCATTTCGAATGCAAAATTTCGGAGTAGATTTATAACTTTAGCAACTATTGTGTGTGATGTAATAAATATAGTAGCATACTCACATATAAAACAATGTGGGTCGAATTTGATTAGGATCCATTTCTGTCTAATATATATATTAGATTTATATTATTCGGTAACAGAGTCCAGGGTTATTTATAAATCCAACAATGAAACTGATCTGCTTTTTAGTCGAACAATAAGATGATCGATAATTCTACTATTCTTTCCGGCAAAGGATTGCTCAATTCACTAAAATTCTCTACAGGGATTGTCACAAACATGGGAGGGAATAAAACGATTCTTCTTTTTTTTTCCTTTTTTAATGTTGTGCACAAGATTAAAGACTCTGATATCTTCTTTAATAAAGATCTTAACCAGTTCACGAGCTCAGCTCCAGCTAATGTGTAAGAGATTTGGAATACTAATTAAGTTTAGGTTTCAGGAGACCACGATCACCTTATCTATAACCTAAGCTTTTAATCGTAAAAATTTGCAGTTTACTTTCTTATCAAGAATAATATTTCAAATATAAAAATTTCATATTCAATCCCATCACAAAAATATTAAGAATTAAAGGTATTAGGTGTACATCCATATAATCTAATATATTATATACAGATAGAAACAAGTAAATGGAATTATTCCACAAGGATATCTATGAAAATCCTTTTTTAATATTCGATGATAATAAAAATAATTTTTTTGCTATATGCATAAAAACAGCAAATCACAAAGGATTGGTTCTCATACATGCATGAATTCACTTTATTATAATTTTTCTGGTTTTATTTTCTGCTTTTTTTTTTTTGTGGAAAACTTTTATGTTTAAGGAGCAGACTTGCATATAAATGATAAAATATTTTTACATATGCATATTATATGGAAAATAAAATAAAGAACAATATAAAATCATAAACAAAATATTATATTATTTGCAATTTGTACGATAAAAATCATTTTAAATACAAAACTCTACAAAATATAATTACGTGCAACAAGTGATGATATTAAGATCATTTCACACACAAATACACAGGAATACAATGTTATAAAATTTAGAAATGACTTTAAGTTTTGAGAATTAAATTTGTAGTATAGTAGAAATTAAATAATAATTGTTTGAGAGAATAGAATGTTATAGCAAGGAAAACGGGCCATGTCAAAATAAAAACATTGAAAAAGGCAAAAAGAGTCGATAACCCATCCCTGTTCGGGATAATGTACTAGATTGATTTAGATTTTACTTTGAAACAGGTAGACTTCAAAAAAGTATTGTTATCGTAAAGACATACTATATACGGTAAGTACTCGTAATATTCGCTAAAACAACAATTCAAGCAAAGCTAAGAAATTAAATGAGCAAACGATATACTAAACACTTTGGGGCCATCGCACCACAGTGAAGGACTTTTACACTCTCAACAGTTCCGTTTCCTTTATAGAAAATTGGATGCAAATACTGCACAGTCGATTCCGATTTGTGCAAATGCTCGAACAAATGACACAAAATTTGGGAAATTTTAGTTAGAAACTGGCTCAGTAAAACCTCATTAAATGGAATGAATTACTTTCAAAATATTTTAGTTTCTCAAGAAGGGTATTTCTAGCACAAAATTTGTTATTCTTTTTCTCTCTGAATTACTCACTTAAATTTCATTTCAACTTTGACATTATTACAATATTTCTAAAAATTTACATAAGAACATGCTATACATAGTCTTATAGAATACAAAAAATAGTAGGCCATGCAAACATGTTTGGACAACAATATAAAATTTAAATTATAATTTTCGCACGATTCTTTTGAATGCCATTATAGTAAAAGTGTTGAATTTTTCCCTTTTATGGAAAAATTCCCGTAAGAAATAAATCTAATTATACAAATATCTCAAAGAAGAATAAAATTTAAAGTTAAATAGAAATATTGTGAAATACATAAGATGCGTGGATAGATTCTTCACATGCTGCTTTGTACTCAATCACTTCAAAGTCAAACACGCAAAATATCGTAAAACTCGGTGAATCACAAAAGTACTCGTATAACTTAATTATTCGACTAACATCCAACCACTTTGCAATGTATTTGAAAATGTAATTATATTCGCTGATTAGATACTCGAGAAGCATACTCTACATGCCATTAACAGAACATAATAAAATCACAGTAGCCTGAACGTATGCATGTACAAATAATTTTGCTTAGGTATTAAAGCTCTCTCTTAAAAATTTGATTAGAGAGGAACATGTTTTGTAATTCTTGCTTTTAAGGCTTTAATATTTAAATAAACAATCTATGATTTAACAAATGTGCACGAACTTACATAAACTTTTTAATCTAAATAAAATTGCTAAAATTTTCTTACATACAATAATTTCAAAATCGCGCCTATTACCGTATTTTAAATTGTCCCGCCGTAAAGTATGCAATTATAAACTAGGAGACCTGAATAATTTTATAAAAACAATATTTCATTACCCGTTCAAATATTAATTTAAATATAGGAAAATTAAATGAAAAAGATCAGATTTAAAATAAAAATGTCTTACCATTTCCAAATAGCTTGTACACAAAAATTGATGAGCCGCTTTATTCTAATTTCCTACTCGAATCTGAAAATAAAAAAATAAAATACTATTTAATAAATTTATATATTCAATTTATATATTCTTTTAAATTGAATGTTAGGGCAATAAAGAAGAAACGATAATTAAAATGAGTGCATAATTATTGTTCTATATAAACAGTAGAGATATTTGATAGTTGGAAGTCGATACGTGTTCATTAATTAAAAAAAGTAAAATGAATTAAAAAAAATAAAGCGTTACGTGGCGTTAGTCTGCGATTATTTCGAAACTCCTGGTCTAATATCAAATACTAGTAAGGTCATTCAAAAAATTACCTTTTCCAAATACTTCTTGAATATTGACATTAAGAATGAGCATTTTGAGGCAAAATGAGCTCAAAAAAGGCTCATTCTTCATTTTCTTTTATTCCAGTAAATTAATGATTGAGTTGTTTATTATAGAATTTTTATTATGAAAACCTATTGCAAAACACTTTCACATCTGTCTCGGAAAACATTTTCGATTATTCGGTTCCCAACTTGATTAGGTATTTCCCATAAGGTAATCATTGTACAAAAAAATAATTCTAACAATATATCGATAATAATTAAAAAATATTTTAAAATAATTATAACAAAAATAACTGTAAAATTAAAGAATTTTATAATAATAGAAATTATTTTTCTATTTATAACGGGGAAAATAGTATTTCAATTCAATGTAGCTGTACAATCTTTTAAAAAATAATGTAAGCACATCCGGAAAAGAAAAACATTTTAACAAAAGACAAATTAAATAATAACGTAGAAATAATGTAAGTAACAAAAGATAGAAAATTTTTTACGCTCTAAAGAATTCGTCCATTGTTACCATCTCCAACAATATCAATAATATTACTCTACTATATATCTACTATTATTCAATTCTAATCAACATTTTTTTTTTTAAAATCCATCTGTCGCTTAAGTTAATCAATCAATCGATTTCAATCTATTATACAAACAACAATGTAAGAAATTTTATTTAACAATGTAAGTTGTACAAAATGCACTGGTGTATGTGTGTCGATATTATTTTATGGATTATTATAAATGGTTATCGTTTCAAGAGAACATATTTTATTCAATCAGGTGTAGTATAACACTTTTATATATTTATGCTGATTGTATATTACTCTTTTATTCGTATATACTTTTGTAATTTTGATCGTTATTATTTTTATTATATTTTTGGACATTCTTCAATTCTTTTATGGAATTTGTACTTTGACATTATTATTCTAACATTCTTTGCCTGTACTTTAATATTGTTCTTACCCATACTTTGATATTTTAGAAAAATAAAAGGTTTTTGTCCACGATGAACGCGTACAATACATTAAATCGAAATTAAGAATTTCGAACAAAATTTGTAAGGTCTAAATTTGAATTCAATTTTAATTTGCATTAAAAGTTGAAGCAAAATTTTTTGAGAAATACGAATGCGCTCTTTTTACGATATTTATATAAAGGGCTATGCATTAACAGGGTATTGAGAATTATTTCATTTGATCTGCTATTTGACAAAAAATTTTTGATTATCGATTACAGAATGTAATATGAATGTTAATAATATAAGTCACCAAAATATTAAGTTTGTTTTGTGATCTGATCTATCGTCACTAGTTTATATTCTATTCTAAACAACTACGAGCTTTAGTTCCAACATTTACGGATTAGAGAATAATTTGAATTGAATTAAATTTTTAATAATTGTATTGCTTATTTAATGTAAGAGTTCATGACAACAGAGACCTGTAATAGATATAGCGATATCTACTGTTAAAAATGTCAACTACTGGAAAATCAACTCATAAGCAAAATTCCAAAAATTTATTCCTTTCATTCCAATTTTATTATTCGCATGTTACGGAAAAAAAACTGAGAATTTTTTTTAATTTCATTTAATTCTCAAATGCGCGTGGGAAGTTCAAAATTTTTAATTATAAAAATTAAATTTAATATTCTTGAAATAAGGTGTTGTTATAATAACAATATGGATTCAATATATAGAAATAGATAAATACTGAATAACAGACTCCAAATATAGTGTAAACGATAAAAGTGTGACAAGCCCATTATTATTAAGAAAAAATAAAAATAAAATTATTTCAATACCATTCATTATAACTCTTTTAACTCTTTAAGAAAATTTTAAACAGTTTGTCATTGTAGTGATATATATGCACATACATTCATCACATTATGCATACACAAAGTATATCATAATCAATTTGCTATTTCTTCCTTTGTATAAGCTCGACATTATCATCTATTACCGTATAACAGTTATAAGCAATTTTAAAGTCAAAGTCACTGATCTTACAACAACAATCCGATTCGAGAGACACTGAAAGAATTACAGTATAGCTAGTGTATTTTTTTTTTATATAAAGTCATTTTATAAATTCGATTAGGTGTGAGACAGATTATAACATTAACTATTTAACTATTATGACGATTGCTATCTCTATAATTACATATATCTTAAATATACTGTCGTAGGTTCATTGTAACGCGAATATTAAAATTTTTTTACGATGATAAATAATTTTTTTTTGTTGATTAAATTTTCAAAATATTCAAAAATATTATTTAAGGTTCGGTACAATAATAAATCATTTTTTTCATGGAAAGTTTAAGCAATTTTAAATTTAAAGAATAGTTACAAATCAAATTTTGAATTTAATTATGCATTTTTTCCTATATGCTTTACTGTACGTGCAGTTTAGTAATTTAATTGAAAATAATATTTGAACTTCAATTGAGATATTCTTATAAATACTTTTTTAATATAACGCCAAGAATAGTTATAACAGTAATTATAATTATAGTGAATGTTGTACGAGTACTACTAAATATCGGATATTGTCGTTGTCGTGATATGACGAAATGTTATTAATAGAATATGAATTAAATTTTTTATGTTACACGAATTATGATAATGTTTGCAGTGAACTTTCAGCAGGCTGACTTGTGGCAGTCATAAATAAAAATATATATAAATTAACAATTTTTCTTAATATTCCAGCTACTACCGATACAGCAATAGTGGGGACGATTAGTCCTTTCGATTGCTCTAGACATCTATTTAAGAAGCTTATGACACTCTTCAAAATTCAGGGAGAACAGTTGATCACATTTAATTGTCTAGATGTGAAATTATTTGTCTGTTCACTCAACTTTGTGTGATGTTTGAATTTATACTTGATTATAATATTATAAACATCGCGGTCTCTGGTCTATATTACAGTTTCTACTTAAAGATCAATGTTACACCGAATCATTTACTGTGCGGAATATGAAGTATTGTAAGCTTGATTCTGAAATGCTTTAGAAACAATTTTGTTTGCTCACTCTATGGTAATTAAATGGCAATCTACAGTAGTAGTCGACGCTAAAACGACCAAGGAATATCGATACCTGTGATGGGAGAAAACGCTTACTCTAAATATAAAACCTTAAAACAAATCTAAAATTTTAATTAGTGTAATTAATATATAAAATTATTAAGGTATGCAAAACTTAAATATTCTAAATCAATTTAGTTTAATGAAAGCTGCTGCAATAGAAGGAAAGAGATTTTTTTCTTGTTTTTTCCCAACAATTCCAATCCGATTCGCTCAATTGTTCTATCAACATGCCAACTACAACAAAAACAAAAGTTAAAATTTTTTTTTTTCATTTTACCTTTGCAAATATTTTTAAATGTCAAATTAATCATCGAATTCGCAAAAAGAAAATCAAAAAAAAAAAAAAACGTAACACGAAAATATTTCCGACATATGTCGATTTATTTTGATCAAATTTTCAACATTCCAACAATTTTGAATAATAGCATGCCATATGTAGTTATGTGTATACCTACATGTATGTACTCATATATTCAAAATTTAAGCATCAGTAAAATCCCTATTGAAAAAAAACACAAAACAAAAGTATTACAGTTGTTTTATACCGCAAAAATATTATTAATGAAATCAAAAGGGGTCATTCCTCTTACTGACATTTCTTTGTTCACACATTATATAGAAACAAAATATGTAGGCATGCTTAAAATATTATCAACATTAAAAGGTTATATTGAAATTTCCGATTCTTTTTACATAATATCCATCCATGTCATGCAAGGTCTTAAAATTATTATTGGTGTATGTAGGTATAGGTAGGTATATGAAGAAAACAATTTTTTTTTTCCTCAAAAAAAAAATTTTTTTTCATTATAAATTTTTTGAAAAAGGTTAAAATGGTCACAAACTGGCAAAAAAAAAATTATCTCATTTATTTACTATGGCTTTTGTTGAAATCAAAGTACCTAAAAATCTCGTTCATATGCGATTATGAACACTTTCCGCAGAGACACCGTGAAAGAAATAAAAAAAATTCAAACAAACCTATACAAATATATAAATGACCATATAGAGAGGCCAGATTAAAATGAAAAAAAAACGTAAAAAAAAACCCTAAACAGCACAGAAGTGATTTAAGAAGAGATGAAAAAATGTCAGAAGAAAATTTCTCAAAATTTATTCCCTTTACTCTCTCCCATTCTCTTCCAAACACTTCCCGAGAATTTAACACTGTAGTAAAACAAAAAAATTAAAGAGAATAAAAGAGAGTAACAAAAACAAAAATTTTCTGTGAAATGAGGTCAAATGAGATCAGGTCAATCTGAACTAAAATTTACCATGATAATAATGATGGTGATGATGATAATAGTGATTATTTTAAATTTCTAAATTATAATTATAATGAACACATATGCACATAACAGGCACACATAGGATAATGAAAATACTCGAAGGTATAAAATAAAAAAATACGTGAGCATATTTAAATTTATTTGTAAATATTAAAATATTTTAACAGATGCAAAAGGTCAGATCATCTTCCTTTTCTAGTTTATCTCTTCTGATGTTTTTTTTAAGTTTTATGAGTATTGACCTTATGCAAAACATTTTACACATTTCGAGGTACAAATTTTTGGATTTCTAATATTGAGTTTTT